ATAAATTCTAAGGTTTGTATATTTTAGCGCAAAGCGATATAATAGGTTATCTGCATTTTGTCCACCGCGAGGAACAAACTCCGGATTGTAGCGTTGTAAATCTCTAACCTACTGGGGGACTAATTTTGAAATAATAAACAATTACATATAATTTTGTTTTTCGTTAAATTTCGTGCAAAGCTACTCGAAGGCTATCTGCGCTAGCCGTCTCCAATTTTCAAGTGATAGACTGAGAAAAGGCAGCTAGCTAGACAACCCCATACACAGCCAACTCTCTTACCAACGAAAAGTGGGATTGACCGTACCATTATAACGCCCACACGGTTTAAAGGGCGAGAATTACTTACAAATTAATTTTTATCGTAAAACATCGTTAGTTTCAGATTACATCTTTGAAATATTTATTAACTGTCAATGAAAAAGAAAAAAAAAGCAATATAATGTAGTTACATTGATCTGTGTGTTCGTCTTCATTTAAAAGCAAGCGTGTTTCATGGAAGAAACAAATATACAGGGGAACCCAGGTTCCAGTGTAGTTCAGCGATTGTATGAAAAGCCATTCAGTGAAACATACAAGGATAGAGTTAATCATTACATAGCAATAAACCACTGTAAAGCTGTTAAATAATGTTGCACAAACTAGCAGTTTTTTTGTTGAAAATTAATTTTATTGAGTTACACATAAGTTGGACTGAATAAATTCGATAATCAAATATAGGATAAGTTCAAAAATCATCTTCACCAACGAACCTGTAAACACACTATACTTTTAGTGTGAGAAATACAGAGCTTCTGTTCGTTGTGTCGTGAGGAAGTTCAATAGAATTAGTTTCTAGGTAAAGCGCACTAATTCGGAGCTTTAGGTTACTATGGTGAACAGATACAAAAGTTTAGAAACTTTCTAAAGAACGCATGAATTGACGAAACAAAGGAATGAAAGCTAGAAAGTAATGACAAGAAGAACAAAAAAAACAAAACAATTCGATGAGACACAGGAGAGAAATTTAGAAGCTGGAGGATAAAAAAAAGAAAGAACAAAGGAAAAGTGTTATTTTGAAATTGGCAAATTCCTACTCTCCTGGGAATTGGATCTAATATTACTCCCTATCAACCACTGATCGTAGGACAAATACGATTCAAATCTAAATCTTTATTACAATATAGGAATCTAAGGAGGCAAGAAATAGCTTAATTCCGGTATCATGGCTGAAATTTGGACTATTTTTCCTCATTGTAGTTCCTGCTTTGACGTTGGACTAAACTCTGACGTTATTTAAACATAGAATAGGTTAGTATAGAGATACCGTATATGTTGGAGTTAATTGTGGCTGGTTAAACATTAATCCAGATTGTCATTTTAGTGTTGCGTATGACGTTATAAGTACTTATATGCCATACTCAAATACACAAGGAGTCTTTTTCTCCATATCTATAACGGTTTTGACGACTACGTTTTCTCATTCCCTCAGCTATGTGTGATTAGACTGTTGTAATTGAAGCATCGAACTGGTGCCCTCTTTACCTAAATTATTTTGCTACAGTAACGAGTAGTTTAGTGTTTCTCACGTGACACACACTATAGAAAGACAGATACATAAACAATTCCTGCTTATTTCATTTTCATGAGAAAAAGATAAGTGCCTTCTAAACGTTATCTAATTTAAAACTCCAGAGATACTTTCTACCAATAAGGATGACCACAAGTGAAAGACGTAAAGATTAATTCATCTTGAAAAAGTATAATGGAAAAATGCCACCCTAAGCGTCTTTCTTTCTAGGTTTAAGCTGCTTCTTATATAGCTAAGAAAAACAATAAGCTATAGACCATTGGTTACAGAATGCAATACATAAATAAACAAACACCATATAGCACACTGCTTAAACCGTATGTGTCGAAGATTATGACGTGTAACAAAATGGTAGAAGATAAAACCCAAATTTTCACCCGAATTTTGACACACTGTTACGAATTATTCAGTCTTACTGGTAAACAGTTATCGCGTAACATCATAGATTGGCCTCGTTTTACTGATGAATAGTTACAGCAAACATCACAGTTTCGCCTCGTTTAATCGCGTGACATCATGGTTTCTCCTCGTCTTACCGGTGAATAGTTACAGCGAACATCACAGTTTCGCCTCGTTTAATCGCGTGACATCATGGTTTCTCCTCGTCTTACTGGT